ATTAAGAGAATGCAACTATATATCTATCCCAACCACTTGGAATACACAAATACAAAATGGACATTCATCGGTATACCCCATTTTTTCTAAGTTCCGTTATTGAATATTATAGGTGTGTAAACTCAGCAAAATATTCTAAAAGAGTCCAGTAGCCCACAATAGCATTGGGTCTCCTGTTTAACTGGCAATGTCAGAAATTATTGACCTGAGTCCCCCACAGCTCAACATAACAGCATGGCTTTACTTCCTATATTTCGTCTTCATACTTTTCTACTGGATGGTTAAGACCAAGGTAAAGCAGGACCTATGCAACAAGAGTTGTAGCTTTTTGGTCTGAGAAGGTCAGTGAAATGCCCTCAGGATTTATCCTGAGATCCTGTACCTCAGATTGTAGAACCTGTGTCAGTGCAGCCATGTGGATGAGTCACGGCCATTGCTCGGCCAATAAAACTGCTTTAATTCTTGAATCACCTTACACAGTTCTTTAAATTACTATTGCAATTTCAATCTGTTTATACGTTTCTTCTGCCTTATATGCCTCATATCTCTTATGCCCCTTCTTAGAAGTAGTGTTGGCATTGCCATGGCTTCTTACACCTTTTCTTCATACTTCTACTTGCCATACTGAAGTATCTGCCTAAAAATGTTCTCTTAAATGGTATTGACAGCCTGCAGTAGCAATCATTGTCATACTTTGCTCACAGCTTAATTGTAAAAGTTTAAGAATAATTTTTATTACCTTATAAGTTCCCCTTGTGTAGTCCTATGTTCTTAGTTTGCCTAATAACAACTATTGTTACATCATTATAGGAACCCTTTTATTCACATCCTGGGTTGACTCTGTGGTTTCATGGATTCCTTGGTTTTCTATTTTCTGATTTAACAACCTCACTTTATTGGGTTCTATCTTGATAAACTTCCAATAAAAATAAGTGTAGTCATGCTGGCCTTGCCCCTGGGGCATGCTGAGACCGTGACTGAGACTGGCTGTGGTGGCACAGGCCTGCAATCCAAGCGCTTGGGAGGCTGAGAACAGGAGGATCACTACAAGTCCAATCTGTGTCGTGAGACCCTGTATTCTAAATATATAAAAATAATTTGAAAAGAAAAAAAATAGTGTAGTAGGTAAATTGAATATCTTTTCATATGTATTTTTACTTTTTCTCTATGCTTGTGATTTTTGAAGTACATATGCTTATTAATTTAAAATAATTATTCTTTAGAACTCCAAGATTTTTCTCTTTATCTTAATGACTGAAGCACTAGAAGTCTGACTTTTGCTTGTTGTATATTTTGCTTTGCTTTTCCTCAGCAGAATTTAGAGTGTTCCCTCAATCTGTGAAGTTGGAAAAATTTTAAAATGTTATCTTTACCCATGATTCCTTTTTAAAATTAATTTTGCTACATACCTGGTAGTCCCATTCTATATGAATAATTAAATTCTCTGAATTTGGAAAATTTTTCCTTCCTATATTTTAGGAAAAATTCTTTCATTTTGTTTCCCTATTTTTTGTCGCTTAATATTGAATTTCTTCCATCTATTCTCTGTGTCTTAATACTATGTGTGACACTTTCTTGTCTTTAGATTTCAGAGAGTTTTTTTTATTACCTTTCCTGGTCTTATTTACCACCCTACTTTTTTGAAGGGATATAATAGCTTTTCAATTCTAAGATTGCTAGTTAAAAAGACTTTAAATAACTTGTTGATTTTCATATGAACTTTCTCTACTAAATCTTTTTCTTTTTTTTTTCTGCATTTAGAGCAGGTTCTACAGCATGTCCAGGGTCTCACTACATAGATCAGACTTGTAGTGATTCTCCTGTTTATAGCCTCCCAAATACTGGGATTATGGGTGCTCGCCACCACGCCCAGTCTCAATCACTGTCTCATTGCACCCCAGGGGCAGGGCCAGCATGGCACATGGGTGATCGAACCCCGGCCTCTGTGTTTTGCCTAAGCAGGAGCTTTGTCTTCTGAGCTATTAGGCTGGCCATCTTTCTACTAAATCTTTCGCTACTAAAGTTTTCATTTTACTTCTCAGTTCTTTCTTTTTGGAAGATTTTGTCAAACATTTGCTCTGCCCTTTCAACCTTGTATTTACCATGTACCATCTTATTTGCATTTCAAGAAATACATTTCTTTAAGGATTATAGTTTGGACATGGAGTTTCAGTCCCTGTTGTGGTACTATGGGGTGGTAGAATTTTTAAGAAGAGAGGTCTTTAGGTAACTGGGAGGTATGCCCAAAAGGATTGTGGGATTTTCATGTCTTCTTTTTATTTCCTCTTTTGCCTTCAGGCCATGAGGTAACTAGTTTTGCTGGGCCATCTACTCCCACCGTGTTGTCTTACCACAGGTCCCAAAATTAGGACTACTTGGTCATGCACTGGCAGCAATGTCGTTGTCACAACTAAGATTAGGTAAATAATTCCTTCATACAGTCAATATCAATTTTTCTAATTGCCTTTTAAGGATTTTCAACAGTTTTTTAAATTAACAATTGTTTTGTGTAAATATAAAAATAAAAAAAATCCAAGATTTGATTATTACATAAATTTTTAAAAATAGTTTCTCCTTTCCTTTTTTTCCTCTTTCCATCTTTTATCCATTCTTTTATTCTTCCCTTCACTTATTTCTTTCTGTCCTTTTCCCCTGTTCATCCTTCTCCTTTTCTTTCCATCCTTCCAAACTTTCTTCTTGTTGGGATATGTGGGAGGGCAAGATGAAGCCTCATTTCCTTTTTAAAATTTTTTTTATTATTTTATTTTATTGAGAAACAAATAGAAATAAGACAGTTTCAAAACTGACTAGTAGGGCAGTTTCAATAATTAATACATTGTACATTGCTATTTTCTTAGTGGTTATCAATAGTACAAGATGCAGACAGGATATCCTGTCCAAACACTATTAGTACAAATCTTTCTTCTCCTTGAATTGAGCGAAAGTAGCTGTATATCTATCCTAACTATTCTGCATATACAGATACAAAATGGTCCTTTGTATCCCCTTTTTTTTATTTAGTCCTGTCAGGAATGGGTATTCCATTGGCATCTAAATACTATAAGTGTGTGAATTCAGTAAAACAATCCAACACAGTCCAGCAGTCCACAATAGTACTGGGTTAACCACAGAAGTTGTTGATTAGAGACTTTCAGAACTCAGCATATTAATATGACTTTACTTTATATACCTCGTTTTTATACTTTTCTGCTGGATGGTTAAGACCAAGATAAAGCAAGTCCTATATAACAAGAAATGTAACTTTTGTATCTGATGAGGTCAGTCAAGTCCCCTCAGGATTTATTCTGTAACCCTGTACCACAATTTGCAGATCCTTTGTCAGTGTCAGCCCTGTGGATGAGTCACAGCCATTGATTGACCCATTTGCTCTCTGTGAAAGCCTGAGAGAATGTTTTCTCTCCAGGTGACTCTCCTTAGGCACAGTCTACGTCATCAATCACATTCCTCTGTGGTTCCATAACCTCCTTGATCAGAAGATTTGGGACACAATTGAGTTACATGATGTTATAGTATAGGTTCTCCTATGTCCTGAGTCTTCACTGACCTTGAAAGGCTAGAATCAAAACGTTGGCTGTCCTTGTAGAGCTTCTATTTCTCTAATTTTTGGTCTGCAAACTTACATTTTTAACCCTCCAGAAGAGAAGTTGATTATTACCCTACAACATATGCAGTTGGGTTTAACTTCACTATCTGAATATCAAACATCTTAGGTATGACATGCAACAGGTATTTTTCATCAAGTATTGATATATTAAACATTAAGTCCCTACAGAATATGGAGATAAAAATTAAAAAAATGAAAAATATTTAAAGAATATGAATAAACAATTGCACATTTTTATACAGAAATTTAGAAATCTAACCATATACAGCATTGTAGCAGGACAGTCCAGTGACATTTTTTTTTTCTTGTGTTAAGACTAGTTATAAAACACTCAGTCCTGGATTTAGAATTAGGTCCTTCATACTAAACCATGCTGCATCAATTACTGTGTTAATGTTTTGCGTATTTCCCCCTAATTTCATTTTGAGCTCACTTCTGACATGGACAGAAATAACTTCCATAGATTTTTCAAGTTATATAATAACATCCTAAATCTACTGCATGGACTCAGTAGTTGCACAGCAGGGATATTAATTATTTCTTAAACAGCTTCAAAGGCAAATGTCTCCAACTTAGGTGCTACACACTCTCAAGAGTGAGATTCTAGATTTATTAGAGAGTCAGAGAGCGCTATCTGCTGGTCCATTTCCTCTGGAAAGGTTTCCAGTAGGTGACAGTGAATCCAGTGGACACAGAACACATGCACTGCTACATTATGCCAGCCGTGTTGTCCCTCCTAGGATTTCTCTCCCACAGGTTCATGCTTTCCTTAGCTAGGAGAGGGAGGGGCATAGGGATGGTCATATATGGGTATATTCCTGCTCCCAGGACACACACAGATTCACAGAGGATTCAGTGAACCCACCTTGGGATTATCTATCAGAGATTTCATGTAACCATAGTCACCCCACTGGCTGCAGCATTCTTGGTGACACAGGGACATCACTGTGATCTCTAGCATGGCTAGGAGATGAGGTAGACTGCATCTATACTTCTTTTAAATATGCATGTGTGTGGTTTTTACCATCATTCTTTTTTCTCTTGTCATTAATCTTAAGAAATATGTACTTACTTATTGTCAGATACCTGTGTACTACTGTCTTGTCCTAATATTTTTCTGACTTTCATTTGTTTTCCTGCCTTGAGAATTCTTATTTATTCAGTATGAGATTGGGAGAGGAGAGTTTCTACTGTCATCATGTATTCTTTATAAATTTAAAGTTTCGAGAGGAAAGTTTTTATACCAAAATTTTTATTTTTGGCAACTTTTAGAGTCAAGGATCTTTTTCCTTAATGTATTTTTGCTTTGCTTTAAAAAGTTACGAGTATAGAGTTATTTACAGTTTTCTTCTCCTTTAAGAGGTGTACACCAAGATGAGAGAGAATATTATTTTTATTGCTGTTTGAAATGGAGGTGGGTAGCCGTGGTCAAAGCTGGGAACAAGTAGGAGAGAAAAATGGTAAGCTTGGCTAAGGCATCAAACTACTGTCATGATATACTTGGCTCCTTTGATGTTACTGAGCATCAGAGATGACCCAAAGAATGTGATTTTTATGAGCCTGGAACATAAGGGTTTCTGATTCTTAGCCATGGTCCTAGTGACCTTGAGATGAAAGGAAAAAATTCAACAAAGACCTCGTAAAGGGGGATTTATTGCTCCCACAGGAATGCTGGATCAGAGTCACTGAGGAATGGGTGGCTGGGTCAGTTATCTCAGGGATGCTATAGAAGGAAAAAGGAAATAATCAAGAGGTCATGGGGAGAACTTTGAGGGTACATGAGCTCAGAGGGTATATAGCACCTTGGGGTCTAACGAAGAGGTGAGAAGTGAGCATTTAGAGAAAATACAGAATATGATGGAGTATGCTAGAAGTGAGTGCCAGACCATCTAGTGCTCCCAGTTTTCAGCTCTTGCAGATGGGAAGTGTACCTGCAATAAAAGAGACAAGATATCAATGGGTACCCAGGGCTCCTGCACTGCTCATGTCACTCTACAATTTCCATGCAATGTTTTAACTAAATCTATATCGTTAATCATATCCTCCTTTCTTTCTGTAGTGGATTCATTACTCATAAATAGAAAATCTTACCTTTCTTTGTTACTCACAAAGGCCCTAGGTGTTGGGAGGCACCACCTGAGCGCAGGCCTCTGATGATGAAGACGGTCCCCACCATGATGCCCACAAGCCCCACAATCAATCCAAGGGCACAGACTACAGTCTCAGTCAGTTCTGACATCGGTGCTGGAATCTCAGGTTCTGTAAAGTTGAAGTTGTTGAGGTCAGAATAAGTAGTATTCTTGTACATACATGTAAGATTGGGTTGGGGTGGAGGTCTGGGAGTTGGTTCTCCAAATAGTTGGGGCATTAGTCTTAGGGAAGAGCATCAAGACTATCATTTTGAACCTTTTAAAGGTGGAAAACAAGTTTTAGGCTTGACAGAGAACAAGAAGGAATTCCAAAAGGGTGGAGCTCTACATACCCCAGTGTTTCAGAAGAGGCTTGCCCAGGCCCCAGTGCTCCACTTTGCAGTCGTAAATGTCATCCGCTGAAGGAATGAAGGTGAGGTACGCGATCTTGTGGAAGGAGTGATCAGTCTTGGACAGGAAGCTGGTCTCAGAAACACCTTCTGTAACTGAGCGCCCATTGCTCAGCCACGTGATGTTGATCACGGGAGGGAAGATGTTGTCCACAACACAGATGAGGGTGTTGGGCTCACCCAGCACCACTGGATGTTTGGGAAACACAGTCACCTCTGGAACTTCTGTGGGGAGGAAATAACCCTCATATGAGTGTCTAATGCGAATTGCTTTTCCCTGACATTCTGCTCTGAATCCTTTCAAGCAACATTTGCTCACATGATAGTCAAATTTGCTTCCTTTCTGCTTGGGAGCTAGTATACATAGTTTCCACTGTATCCCTAGGCCCTTCCCCCAATGGGCACACAGATGTCTGTGGGACCCTTTTTAGAAACATGGAGGAATGCATTAGGGGAGTAAGGCTCTTTGGGTTACATAGAAGAATGTGATCTGTTAGATGAGTAAAGATTAAAGTTCAGAGGGCTGACCAAATAGCTCAGCAGATTAAAGTGCCTGCAAGCAGGCGCAGGGGTGGGAGGTTTGATCCCTGGGCCCACTGTGCTAGCCCCACCCTCCGGGCTCACTGAGATGGCAATTGAGACTGGGCGTGGTGGTGTGCCCCTGTAATCCCAGCTCTTGGGCGGCTATAAACACACAGATCACTACCAGTCTGATCTAGTAGTGAGACCCTGATCACCCTGTAGACCCTTCCCTAAAAAAAAAAGTTCAGCAATTAGCATGAGAAGATCTGGGAGCACCATGAGAAAGAGAGAGTGTATAGAGTAATAAAGTATGTCTATCACCAGAAAGGAACAGAGTGAAACTTGGGATGACAGGATAGATTTAATAAAGAGAAGCAGTACAGTGAACACATACCATTGGTAGCTGGAGTAGAATTGGATCTTTTAGTCAGGACAGCCAAGTTGTGTTTTGTTGTAGCTATTTCTGTCAGTCCACCTTGTGGGTCAAATCCTGTGAATTCAGTAAACAAAGGAAGCCTCCAAATGGTCTGCTTCTTCCCCTGGTCCACATAGAGCTGTTCATCGCCATCGAGTTCGAAGGTGTACTGACCAGATTCCCCATAGGACTGGAACATGGCCAAGCCAAAGGCAGCAACATGGTCAGCTGATGAATATAGGTGAATAGCAGAAAGGTGGAAAATGGAGAGAGAAAGAACACTGTTAAACAGTGACAGAAAAAAATGAAATTTCCAAATGTCATGGACTTCATTTTTGGTACAGCTGCTGGACAAAATGCCTACTAGAGGCTTCCTCCACCCCAGTGCTAGCAGTCATTTGGTTACCATCCAGTCCGCCATTTGCACTCCGCTGTATTCTCGATGGGGGCAGAAGTCATGTGATTAATGACTAACATTTCCTGAGTGCCTTTTTCAGTGTCTGGTACATCATAGGCTGAAGGTAAATGATGCAACTGAATGCAAGAAAGAATAAACACTTTTTTTGTGTGTGGGAATTGGTCCTTAAAAACTGTAATTTACTTTCCTCTGATTCATACTTTATATCCATAAATTCTCTCACCAATTGGTAAATCTGTGACACTTCCTTCCCCCTTGGAGCTATCCTAGAACAGGAGATTTTTCTACATAAGCATCCTTTGCATTTTTAAAGGTGCCCATATAGAATTTCATTATTTTAGGAGCTTCCTCTAACTATTAGAGGGCATAAGAAGGAGCATAACACGAATAGTGATATTATAAAGTACATAAAAATAATGCTTATAAGGTTTTGTTAAGAATAGTAATTTTCAAAGAAGAATAACTAATACTTTTTCTAGAATAAAAAAGGAAGTTGTATTAGTTTTTGGATTTTTCACATTCCCCATTTTCCTTTTCTTTTGAAAGAAGTTATTAGACGTTTCCTTTTCTTCTAAGTTAAAACTTACATTCTCTTTCAGACTCAAAGTAGATTGAAATCCTTGTCCTCAAACAGACGCAGGCTGGGGATGCACCCAGCATGGCAGCCAGTGCAGTACGACTGGGCCCAAGTGCACCTAACAGGAGACTGTTTCTATCAAGATACCCACGAGCATTTTGACATTCTATTCTTTTCCTTCTTTATTTCCTGAGCATCACCAAGCACCAGACATATTGGAAACATGGAGTGAAATATCAGTCAAGCCTGGCATCTGCTGTCGAGGAGCTTGCTGAACAGCAGGAAAGATGGGCGAGTAAATGAGCAAACACACGTCCTGAGCTGAGCTACGTGATGAGGGCCTTAACTGTGGTCTGCCAGTCAAGCTGAAAGACATCAACCTTGCTTGCTGCCTGCTTTTTGCAAGATTTGTGCCTCTTTTATCCTTGGAATAAAGTTTTCTTTGGTGGTGCTATGGGTGTTTCTGCAGACCTCTACTTCCTTCCAAAGGCTTCTGTTTGGTTACCAGTGTTTTGGCTAAATCTTATTAATATGTTTCCAACAAAATTATGACTTCCAGCCCCTCTCTCCCAGTGTCTTGTTTTCCAAGTCTGTCTGTTCCTCTTCTCTCTCACTCCCTTCCTTCCTCAGTGTGAACATTTTGGTCCATCTGGAACAACAGGCCTCCCAACAAATCCTTCTTATCTTTGCAATACATCATCCTGACTTCTTTCCCAAATGTGCATGCACTGACCATTCCCTCGCCTGGCCCCTGTCCTGTGCTGCAAGCACTGCTGGTGGACAGCACACTGCTGTGCTGATGGACACGAGTCGCTTTCATGGTTTCAGCCTCAGAGGGTCCAGGCCCTGTTCAACAACGACCTTTCTGCTTCCTGCACCCCACTGTGCTTCCATCCCAGTCTGTGAACCCTCTGGGGGCACATAGCCTGGGTTTCCACTTTTTACACCCTAAACTTAGCTTACTGTGTATTCAAAACCATGTACAGAAGACCATGTGTCATTTTTGAGAACAGCAGAGACTTGGGAGAAATTTTTAGGTACACGGAGAGCAGAGCAATGTGAAAGTCAGTGTCAGTGATGAGCAGGGCTGCAGCGTAACTTGTGAACAGCACCCTTCGTGGTGTTTTCAGCCTCCTCCTCTAGAAAAACCCCCAAAAGCATATTTTATGTATAAACACAAATACAGGCTGAGTTTACATTTTCTTAGGCCATTAAACTTCAATTTTTTCTTTTTGTTTCAAGAGAAATTAAAACATTTTCATGCAGCCCTATAGTACTGTGAGTACCTGCACAGTGCCACCCTTACCGACGGGTAGGTTGAACCTCCTTGGGACGCTCAGGTACGATGCAGAAGAAAGAAGATGGGGACAAAGTAGCCAAGCGCTCTGAGAAGCAGGTGAAGCTTCTACCCCGAGCAATATTTTATTTTTAATTTTATTTATTTGTGTGTGTGTGTGTGTGTGTGTGTGTGTGTGCGTGTGTGGCCAGCTCAGCCCACCAGGGGGCGGGGCTGGCTGGCATGTGGTGCTGGGGGATTGAACCGTGGTCCCTGTGCTTTGCTAAGCTTGTTCTAAGTAGGTGCTTTAGACCACTGAGCCATCTCACCAGCCCCCTACCCCAAGCAATATTAAAATGGAAACACAGTGGTTAATAAAGTTGTTCAATCCCTTTCACTTCCTGTTTTAAATACTTGACTGTTCATGTGTAGATTTTACAGATCTCCTATTCATGTCTGTAAAACAGCAGGCAGTCAGGGGCAGGTGCTGAAAGAGGGATGAAAAACTGTATGAAGGGAAGGTGGAAAGGGTGGGCAACAAAGGCAGGGGCCATGGGGTCAAAAAGCCAGTGCTGCCCATTGTCCATTCCTAGGACTTCATCGGATGGACTGGAGAACAGGTAACTTGAGTTGATAACTTCAGAATAAGATAATTAACCTAATTATTCCTCATAAAGTTCTTAATTTTAAATATTCTTTACTTTTTAAGAAGAAAATATTATTAGCTGAACCTCCAAATAAGTTAACATTTATGTTTTCACTATCCATGAAACACGCCTTTCTATTTTTATGCTTATCTTTGAAGTGTCTCGTATCAAATAACATTAAGCAGGACCTCGAGACCAAAACGAGGATGGTAAGGCATTTTAACCTGCTTCTCACCCCACCTGCCTCCAGCATAGAAACGTGTAGATCTGAGGCCAAGGAAAGGTCACTGTCAGGAGAATCACTACGAGACGGATCTGTGGAGGGAGACCCTGCAGACCCTGTACTGAAAGGAAAAAAAAAAAAAAAGTAGCCAGGGGCCAGCCAAATAGCTCAGCGGATTAAAGCACCTGCAAGCAGGCACAGGCAAAAGGGATTTGATCCCCGCAGGGCGTGCTGAGATGGCGATTGAGACTGGGTGTGGTGGCGCTCCTGTAATCCCAGCACTTGGGAGGTTGTGAACAGAAGAATCGCTACAAATCCGATCTAGTAGTGAGACCCTGAACACCCTGTAGACCCTTCCCTAAAATACAGGAAAAGCTCACAGGACTAAAGCGCCTGCTCAGGCAGCCACAGGGACTGCGGTTCGATTCCTGGCACCACATGCCACGCTGGCCCTGCCCCCGGGTGAGCTGAGACAGCGCCTGAGCCTGGACGTGCTGGTGCGTGCCTGTAATCCCAGCGCTTGGGAGGCTGAAAACGGAAGAACCAGTGCGAGCCCAATCTGTGTAATGATGCCCTGTAGAGCCTCTAGTAAAGTCACTTTTCTTTATGTGTGTCCATACGGTATGCACAGTGCGTGGAACTGTTTTCCCAAAGATGTACCGCAGAGGCGTACAGGAAAAGCTTCAGCTGGGTGTGGCGGCGCTCCCTGTAATCAAGGCACTAGGGAGACTGAGGCAGGAGGATTAGTGTGAGTTCAAGGCCAGCCCGGGCTACCTAAACGTGTTGGAGCCCATCCTGCACTACACGGGGTGGGGGTGGGAGACCCTGTCACAAACAAACACCCAACGCCCTTCCCACCAAAGCTTCAAAAATTGTTCAGAGAAATTGGAGAGTTCACGCATTTTTAGCGCGAGACATAGTGCACGCGGGGAAACGTCCTTACTCTGTGAGAGCACCCCGACCCGGTGGCAGAGACCTCTACGCTACATTCGCTGTGCCCAACACTGGAACCGAGGGCTGGGTGACCTGTGCAGCCCAGTGAGCCACGACAGTGCTTCGGGCTCTGCTGCCCTGAAGGAAGGACGGCACAACTTTTCAATCTTCTGATGCTGAGAAGCCCCTTGAAAAGTTCCTGCTCTGCTGGAATTTAACTCTGCTCCCTGCCTTGTTTACTGTTTTCGGGCTCCAGGGGACGAACCTCCCTCAGCCGTGCACTCACCCTTGATGTCTTCACCTCCACAAAGGCTCATCAAGGCGGTTACAGCAAAGACCTCGAGAACTAGAGCTCTGGTTAGAATCATCCTCTTCTCAGGGTGGTCTCAGCCGTCGCTGTTCTGAATTACACAGCAATTGGGAGAACTGAGCCAAGGAAATCTAGAAACACCCAAATCAAACCCACCAGCAAGAGTTTTTGGCCAATCAGAATAATCGCTGGTGATGACGCTTAAGTTGCCAGGTGCAGAGTTTGTACAGAGAGGCCTAAAGGACAGAGGGGAATCCCCAGCTTGTGACGCAGCCTCCGCTCAGCGTGGACTCAGGCAGAGCTCTGTGAATGCTGGGAGGATTCCAGGCGGACTCTTCTCTCATATGCGCATGTCTGTTAGTAGGAAGGGGGTGGGAATGGCCGAGTAGCCTTGTAGATAGATAATGTTCTAAATAATGCGGTGTCCTTTGGGAATTTCTGGGTTACAACCTGTAGAAATGCTTTCCTAAATTGATTCCCTCTCCTAGAAATCCTTACCAGTCCCTGCCATCATCCATCTTTCTCTGATTTCCACACATAGATCTTTCTTTTATCTTGCTAACAGAATTCTCCACATTTTGAGCTGACCCACTGCTTAGAGCATCTGTCCTATGGTTATCAAGCCATGCCTTTGCTTTTTTCTCACAGGAATCATTAAGATTCAGCCGAGTCCATTTTTTCCCCCATGCTTCCAAAAGCTGTAGGCAGTTTCATTCAGAATAGTGAAAGGAATTCTGTCACTAAGTGCTGTGTATAATGATGGTTGTAATATCTCTTTAGCGGAATTTTCTTTCTCTTGAGTAATATTTGCAAACTATGTTTTGATGCTGCCTATGTTTAAAGGAAATTTAAGGACACTGATCACATTGAAATACAGATGGAAACTCTGGCTTGATCAATTACTCTAGGATTTTTTTTAAATTTAAGAATGTCAAAATATTGAGGGTAGAATGAGAAAAATTACTATGTCTTAGAAAATTGGTTTCCTTCCTTGGATTATTGGAATTTTATGCTTGTTATACTGATAAATTAATATATCAGATATTTATGAAGACCTAAGGATTGAGATAAACCCAAAAGTTATCATTAGAGGGAGATTTTCTTCCAGAAGAGCATAGTTTTGGTATGTTATAAAGGTCACTAGATGATAGTTTTTGTAATCAGTCACTCTGTGAGTTAGAGAAAGTAGTGAGTTTCTTATCTCTTGGTCTTCTCAGTGACAGAAACCAAAATGAGCTTGAGACAGAAAATGCCTGACACCTGGGAGCTGGATCCAGTGAACTATGTGTTGGTGCTGTGGGTCACCTGCTACTTACTGCTAGGCTTTGGCATTTTCTTTTTGAACACTAACGATTTTATAGAATGTCACCCTTGTGACCATGATGATGAAGACAGAAGACAAGATCTCTCAGCAATCTTGTCTGAGCATAGACAAAATGTGAACACTGTGGAAACCACAAAATGACCAAGCATGGTCAAGTCATGGCCAATACCTTGGGCAGCTTGGTCTTCATGTATAACCCCACTGCCATCCCTGTCTCTGCCCCAGGAGGAGTTCATAGAGCAGCACCTGCCTGTGAGTGGCTGCTACTTTACTGATTATATCTTTAACTTCATTGAAGATAGGATTTTTTAAGATACCTAATCATAGAATTACTCTGCCCCCACTTCCTGACAGGATCTAATTAAGTGCAAAGTGCCTCTTTCTTAAATCCTCCTCGTTTGCCTAGCCCTATGATAGTTTAACACTTGGTTTTGTGTATACAGGATATAGACTCCAATTCATCAAACACCAATCTAATCTAGGTGTTGCTGTGGAGATATTCTGTAGATGGGATTATTTTCATCATAAATTGATGTCAACTAAGAGAAGTTATCCCAGATGAATGAATGAGCTGGACCCAGTTAACTGAAAAGCTATGGAGAGAACTGCAGAATTTCTTAAAAAGGAAAGTCTTTGTTTCTACCTGTGCTGAGATCTTGACTAACCTCCTGGCGATGACCTGTCCTTTGGATCCTGGGCTTGGCTAGTTCACCCTCACATTTATACAAACAAGGTCCTGGCAATACTTAATATCTGTCTCTGATGGGTTCTACTTCTGTGGGTTTAAACACTCTCTTACTGAGAAGTCTCATAGTTCCCATTGGTGAGTGTTCTCTCTCAATTCAAAGAAAAATAAAATCAACTTTTCATCTCAGTGTGGTCCTGGGGATCCTTAGCTGGAGGACAGTGTCTTGTTAGGTACTGAGAGGGTTGTACAACTACTGCCCTCAATGCAAAACCCTAGGATGTAAAATTACCCTTGTCATACTTTAATAATCATCTGCAAAAAAAAATAATAATCATCTGCACTTTACAAGGAGGATATTGGATTCAGAGTTTCAGTAATTTGTCCAGGGCCACAGATCTGATAACTAGTACAGCTGGAGTGACAAAAGCAGACATGAGTCCTTGTGGAGGGGAGTTTCCTATGTGGATTCAGAGTCCAGTGCCCTCACATAATTAGCGTAGATACTTGAGCCTGTGAACCTCTTTCTAGTCTCTGCCACTGTGAGTGAAGAGGGCTTCCAAGGTTCATCAGAGATGCTGAGTATGAATAAAGTGCTCTACTCTGTTTTCATATAAGAAAGCTTTCAGTTTTGCAAATAAGACATGGAAACCTGGAGAATTATAAGTAATATTTTTACATTTTGCAAGTACATTATTTTTGTTGGAAAGCCTTATGTATTGATATCCAACTACGTGACTTTGTACAATGGCAAAACTGACAAAGCAGATGCAGCTTCTCATAATAAAATCAGTGAAGCTGATGGTCTTTGCAAAGAGAACCATTTCCTTTTGACTTTCACATCATTGCCACCAATTCCTTGTCACATGAACCTGTAGCATTCAGTCTAGTTGCTTTAAACAACTCTTTTAAATAAACCGTATCAAAAATATGAAGTATATTGCTAACATTTTGTACAAAAACATGAGAATTACATGGCTAGATCTGATTTTACAGTATCTTTGGCTACATTCCAGATAAATTATGTAGATTACTTGATGAAGACTTTGTATTGAGATTATAGCATATAATAAGAAAATATTTTTTGAGTCAGACTTTCTTTCCTTTCTTTTTCTTTTTCTTTCTGTTTTTAGGACAGGGTCTACAGGATCTACAGGATCTCACTTTGTAGATCAGGCTCTTAGTGATTTTCTTGTTTTCAGCCTCCCAAGTGCTGGAATTACAAGGGTGTGCCACCACCCCAGTCTCACTTGCCCTCTGAGCGCGCTCCGCAGGTGGGACTGGCATGGAACACTGGGGGTAGAATACGGGTCACTGCAGTCTGCCAAGCAGGTGCTTTAGTCCACTGGGCTATCAGGCCAGCCCCAGATAGAATTCCTTAATTCATCTGAATCAGGTTATAGAACAGACTGCCCGGAGACAGATGATGTTCTTCATGTCCAATGGTAATTGGTTCTCTTCCCAGGAGCTCTCCAAACCCAATATACATACTGTGAAATTTTTGTTTTGAAAGCTTTACTTAGCATTCCTTAGTAAGTCAAATAAAACAAACCCTCAAATCTTTAGAAGCAGTGGTTTATTTAAAATCACATATTTAAACCAAATGTCAACATATATTAAAATATTCTATCTAGAAATTTTAAGATTGAAGTTTAAGGTGAGCCTTAAAAATACAAATCAGAAATAGAATTCTCATGCTTTAATAGGTGAAAATGTTAGGCAAAATCAACCCATCTATACACAAATTTTCAGAGTCTTACAAAGTATTTCAATCAATCAAATGAGATATCTTTGAAATTGTGTTTCCAGTACTGGAAGTTAAGTAGGAATTATTCTTGCTGAAGTATACTTCCCTCAAAATACTCCCCTGGAGAAAAATCACTGGACAAGGGCAGTCTTGTGTGTGACAGTAGCAGAGCTGAGGTGGGCTCAGAGCTCAGAGTGGGGACGGAATCAGCAAGTGTGGCTGCAGCCGCTCGCCCTCTTCTTGCCTGAGCCCTTGAGACTCACGTGTTAGTTCTTATCTCTGAGCTGTCTGAATACTTGAGTCCATGGACGTTTTGCACTGTAAGAAATGTAATAAGTTTCTATGTAGTAGAGATCTGGTACCACATGAAACTTGGGTCTGTGCAAAGAAGCGAAGAGTACTGCAAATGACCTAAATGAAGAAAAGAGAAAAATATTTTTCTGTTAAAATTGCTCTAAAACAAGTTTCTTCATTTCGGAAGTGACATTCAGAGCCGGATGTTTCTTTTTGTGTAGTGAGCTGCTCCATGCCTTGGGGGATGTTTCGCAGCATCCCCGACTCCTACTCAGCAGGCGCAGGTAGCCTGCTTCCTCCTCGTGACAAAAATGTACCTCCAGACGTTCTAATAAAAATAATCATACAGATGATAGAATTGAATAAAATAGTACAGATTATTTTCAAGTTCACGTAGAATATCTTCAAAGATAGACCATTTTCAGGGCCATAAGACAAATCCTCCAAGTTTAAGAGATTAGAAATTACACAAAATGTTAATGTTTTCTTAGATCAAAAACAAGTTAAACTACAACCAATAGAAGGAAAAGTACATGAAAATACAATATATTTGTAAATATTTAGAATTCAAACGACGGCTAGTAAATAAACCATAGTCAATGTGGAAACCACAGGGAAGCTTAGGAAACACTGTAATTGAATGAAATGAAGGCAATACATATAGATTTGAGGACTGTGGCTAAAAAAATGCTCAGAGAAAAGATACTTTGTTAATAACTTGTTAGAAAAAAAGAACAGCATTAAATCAAATGACTTAACTTCTACTAGACTGAGAGATTGGAATAAAAAGAATCAGTTGAGTGAAAAGTAGTTTGAAGAAGTTAAATAATGAGAAGGAAGTAATGAAATTGTGAAAATAAAAAAAATCAAGATGGGGAAATTAGGGAATATATTTTTTGTTTTATTTGTTTATTTTTCTGTGTTTTAGGGAAGGGTCTACAGTGTTCAGGGTCTCAGTACTAGATTGGACTCCTAGTGATTCTCTTGTTCACAGCTTCCCAAGTGCTGGGATCACAGGCACAAGACAACACACCCAGTCTCAATCACCTCTCAGTGTACCCTGGGGGGAGGGCCAGCA